CAGAATTATTTTGCCTTTCTTTATTGTCTTTCTCTGTTTCTATCTCTCTCTCTCTCTTTCTCTCTCTCTTTTCATTCTTCCTATTTCCATGCAAAGTAATATTTGGAAAATACATTTTCATGATAATTTTAATAGCTGAATGAAATAAGGGAATTGCTATCAAGTATCATTGCATGATTAGACCCAAGTTCTTTCCACATCTGTTTGTGATACAGGAACCATTTGAGATTATAAAAATCAGAGCTCCATTTTGCAGGCCTTTCTGACTTTAGTTTACAGCTTTCAAGTTATTTACCTGGTGTGCCTTAGTCAGCATTCCTCACAGCCTAGATGGATTGATCAACTGTGTCCACACACATAAATATGTCATTCCTAATGTCTTTTCCAGTTATTATGTAGGAAGTCAGAGATGAGTGAGATTAACAGAGTGAAAAACACCAGCTGTAATGATGCTCGATAAAGCTGTCAGGTTTTAAGTCATGGGTTAGTAGCATATCCTGACTCTATAAATGAGATAAAATTTAAACCACACATTAAGCAATGCTAGCCCCAGCAGTTCTTAGTGAATTGCAGTCTCTACTGAAAAGTTTCTGTAGAAATACAACACGCCTTCAGTGTGTTGTAGCTTGGATAAAATGAAAAATAGAAATGGTAGACATTTCAATTCTCTTCTGCCTAAGATGAAACAAATTGTTATTACATATAAGCTTTCATTCAAAGCAGAATTGACCCAAAAGAAAACAGAATCATTATTTGAATTAAAATGATTGTGTTATTTTGGCATGAAATTAGAATTTGTATAAGTTATACAGCTGATTTCTGTGTTATTTCAACTGGGGTACTGGTAAATTATTTAAGTGACTTTCTAAAAGGAAAAAATTCCCTGATTTGCAGTGTTTGCCAGTTTCCATTGTATAAACACTCCCACCATTGCCAATGTCAGCTACTAAACCTGCTGTTGCTGAATGGCAGGGTTAGAAAAATGTGCATAGTTCGCCTCTGTGGGCCACTGGAGCTGCCTCTAGCGAACCTGTGGTGGTTTCTTTTGCTCAAGAAATGCAGAGCAGACATGAATGTCTAAGAGCACCAGTAATGAAGACCCTGGCCATAAAACAGCAGGCTTAAACTGAAAGAGTCCAGGTAACTGAAGGATACAGTGAACTAGAAGAAACTGGTCCTTCTGTACTAGAATGAACTAGAAGGACATCAAAATTAGAGAAGTGAATTCCATTCTCTGTGACACATGAAGATAGTCTATAGTTAAACTAAACTAAGTTTCTATTCAATCTAATGTATTACTTTAGATCAGTTTAGATCAATCATAAATTGTTCTAGGTAATACAATCTAATGTATTACTTTAGATCAGTTTAGATCAATCATAAATTGTTCTAGGTAATACAGAAGCTATTACTATATGTAATAAGTTTTTATGACTACATACAACATTTTGTTTTTCTCATAACAAAATTGTTCATCCCTCAGTTTCCTTATCCTTAGTTCTTAAGATGGGTAGATGGTAATTACTGTAGTGTTGGGGTTAATTGCTAAACACTTTGATCATTTTGGTGCACAGGTTTAGAGGTATAAACTTCAGTTGAATTTCTCTGCTTATAATAAAGAGGAATTTTAAGGATCAAAGGAAAAACTCAGAAAAATAAAATAAAAACCAATGACTATCAGTATTATATGAGGTAAGCAGTGCTATAACAGGGTCTTTTTAACTGGTTACAAGGCAGCTCAGGGGCCTTTGAAGCAAAGCAATATCTGGAGGGGATTTCAAGTTGTTTACTGTGAGGTGTGTAATACAGAGACTCCCTCTGTGTCTCCTATGATGTCTTCAGTAAATTCTGTATTTCTCACTATTGCTTTTGTATGAGTATATTCTTTGGTGGACCTGGAAGCAAAGAACCAATCATAGACAACTGATACTGAATTTACATGCATAAGAGCTGTATTCTTACATGAAAATAAATACCATTTTCAAAGACTGCAAGTCTGTGAAACAGAAGGCCAAGAAAAATATAAATGGCAGTTCAAGTATATTGCTGTCTAGGAAATACAGTTTGAGGAATCCATCTTAGTGAAACTTCAGGTATTTATTCACCTCCAGACTAGGGAAAATTATAGTACATGGGAAACAAAACACCTCTATCCCCTTTCGTGGCTTGGACACTGAATATTAAAACCACCTACCAGCATTATTTTTTCATCAAAATTAACATGACATCATTCCACAGCTGTTAGCACAGTCTATCTTCTTTGAGACCCTTGGCCAGGTAAATACTTTATTATTCAGTACTTCACCCCAAAACATCAATTCCTCAATAGGAAGCACCAACATATTGTTATCTTAGACTATTTGAAAGCCTCAAAATCCTTACTTTGCCATTTCCATCAGTCCTAAACTATTAAATCATAATCCTTCTCCAATTCTAAACAAGTTATCACATTGAAAGGTCTGTATTAAACCAAATTCCTAATTCTTAATAAAATCCAACTTTTCCTTTCCCCCTCTGAGATACTATCAAAGTTCTATTGAGAGTAAATCATCTCATATCTCTGTAAGCAATAAATAGTTGTGTTTTATCAATGGGCTATATTGGTGATATTTGATGACCTGGCATTCAACAGCATCATTGCTGTAATATGAGAACAGAGCACTGGTATATCATAGAGCTGTGACATGAAAAATATGACACCCTCAAACGAGTAGTTTGAGAATTCAGTAGAAATCACTATTTACAAAGTGTGGACAGGATTTAATGAAATTAGGTGTGATAGAGTCGAATAAAGACTAGTCCATCCAACACTAAAAGGATAACAGGATGGAGCAGGTACCATTTACTAGAACACACAGCCACAGAAGGCAGTATGGAGAGGGCCACTTTACAGGAGTGTGGCTTTAGGGACACAGCTAGCCCTTGGCACACTACAAGAGACCAGAGGCAATAATAACAGGGCCTCACTCTACTCCTTCCAGGCTCCTCCTGATCCTCCACACTGGTCAACTCCAACAGGATGTCAGAAGGTAAATTAGCCCCTTGATGTAGTCCAAATAAATGAGACTCCTGGGGCAAAGAGAAAGGTGGAGAAGGGTGGAAGAAGACTCTAGAGGGACAAATGGAAGCTATTCTCAGAGATGGTTTCAAGATAGTGGAGTAAGCACGAACCAGTCTCCCATTTTCATAAAAATGCTGGAAAACGCACATTCCCTATGACCTATTCCTGCAGTGTCTCTCATTTTACATATACTGTGACAAGTTCAATTACACATATTTAGAAACAAGAGTTGCAGCTAAATTTTTATGCATAATAAAAAAGAGGCATTTCAAAATCCAGAGAACTATGAGGAAGGATATAGAGGGTGTGTCTGCATGTAGTATGGTATATGTCAGATACGTATTTGAAAACAAGAAGGTAATTCTCATTATGTCAGAAACTGGGAAATACCTGAAATCCGGAATCAACCTGTCAACCATGGAGTGAAATCACAGCAAAAAATATATGTGAGCATGTTTTGATGCAGAATAGTGGGAGCATCAAGAAGGAACCATGCCCAAAGAGTGAGAAGTCAGGGGCCAGAGAAGTCTCAGGTGCAGACAAGAGGGTAATTAATTAGGGTATTATGGCACAAACACCTAGGTAGTTTGATGCCTACACACTGTCCACTTTGAGCTCCACCACAGATCAAGTAGCAATAAGGATTGTACCTGTCTCTAGCCCAGAACAAATGAGTGTGTGAAAAAAGTCAGAGATTGATGTCCGAAGCCACCGAGATGGGATATGGACTATCTTGTGGCAGAACTCAGTTGTTGCAGCCTGAAGCATTCTTATTCACACCATTGAATATAGCAAAAACCATTGTGGATGCTTTGCTGCCTGCCCATGTGGATTGCTCAATTAGAGACAGCAATCAAGTGGATAGAGAAGGAACCAAAGAATGAGCACCCAGGTGAAAATCACAGAGTATTTGGGAAAAGCCAACACTGTGAAAGAAAGACAACAAACTCAGCAAAATGTGAAATGCATATTTGAGGAAACAGTTGATAGAGCAATTTGACTAAAACTTTATATAATATGCTTAATGTTCTCAGAAGTATAAAAAAATAAGAACAGTTCGATAAAAAAGAGCCACTTAGAGATTTTTGAAATTAAAAATAGAGTTGTTGAAATAAAAAAGTTAAAAAACAACAAGCTGAGAGCAAAAAGGATTTAGATGAGGGATGAATTGCTGAGCTGGAAGATGGCACTAGGGAGTTTTCTCAGAATATAGCATGAAGAGATGCAAAAAAGGGAAAGTTAAGGCATATGGGGGAGAGATCCAAAAGTTTCAAAGTCTATCTGAAAAACATGCCACCAGAAGGCAAAAAAGAAGGGAAATTCATAGTTGAAAAAAAAAAACTAACAATTTATGAGAGTTGAAGACAGAAATAATCAACCTTAAGTAGCCAAACAGGAAAAAATATTCAAAATATAAACACTGAGAGTCCCAGTAGAAGAAAATTTTAGAAAACCAAGGATATGGAGAAAATCCTGAACAATACCAGAGACAACATTGGATTAGTGAAAAATTTTAGAAAACCAAGGATATGGAGAAAATCCTGAACAATACCAGAGACAATATTGGATTAGTGACAAAATTTGTGAGAATCAAATCAGATTCAGACTTCTGATCAATACCACTAGCTACAGGAAGACAATCAGTTTCTTCAGTAATTTGAACCTAAAACTCTATACCAAACTATCATTCAGTATTAAGAGAAAAATGAATACATTTTTAAATATAAAAGAATTCAATTTACCTCCCACAGAATGTCTCTGGAAAAAATATTAGAAGATTACTATAGTTAAAAAGGAAAATAAAATAAGTCCTGTTAGAAATAATTGGTAAAAAAAAAAAAAAAAAGCAAAACTGATGAAAAATTATTGAAATACATTAAATATTGTTAAAGTAATTCTTAAAAATATACACTAAATTCTAGAATATATAAATGCATCAGTTGATAAGGGGAAGGGGAAATAGAAGTGGAAGAAAAAAAACATTAGAACCATTAGAACAAATGTATAGTACTGGGATTATTTTATTGGAAGTCTAATGTAAGAAGTATATTCTCCAGGGAAGTATTTCAAGGGCATATGAACAGTAAAGGGATAATAAAAACAACTCTATAAAGTAGTATATGTTGAAATAAAAATGTAAGATTCCAGATCTTCTGTCCTTGCTGCCAAATAGAAGCCACTGGAAAACTAAGACATTGATTGAGGAACAAGTATAAAAATTATCAGGACAAAACGGAGCATTTAAATTGGATTCTTCACTGTTTATATGAATATAAGAAGGCTGTGGTGGTGATAATATAGTACAGTGTTTAATTATTTAAGTTCCTTATAATCTTTGTCCACACATTTACAGCTACATTCAATCCCTAACCTGTGCCAACTTTCTAACTTGGATTCTTCACTGTTTATATGAATATAAGAAGGCTGTGGTGGTGATAATATAGTACAGTGTTTAATTATTTAAGTTCCTTATAATCTTTGTCCACACATTTACAGCTACATTCAATCCCTAACCTGTGCCAACTTTCTAACTTGTTCTGAATAAATTATACCACTGCCTTCATGAATTGTAGTTGTGTCATTGGCACAACCTAGGACAATCACTATTGTCTTTTCATAAAGACATTTTTCTTGGCATCATGATACTGTCCTTTGCTTTTCTCTCTTTAATAAAAGTTGCTCATTTCAGTATCAGTGTTTTCCTGAACAACTGGGTTGTTTTGGTAAATAATATGCAAATAGCAAATGTCTATTCATTGGATAAGTATCTTTTAACAACTTTAGCTGTTAGAATCTTACAGCCAGATTAGTGGTAGTATGTGCTAACTGTACAAATCCCCATTCTATTTCTTTAACCCATGTTTTCCCTTCAGTTGGATTTCCAATTGGCAAGCTATCTTTCACTTTCAGTTGCCACTGACTGTGGGACTGAGATTTAGACTCTCAATAGAAAGAGAAACATTATCAAGAACACATCCATTGAAACAGACTCCCTCATTTAAGAAATTTTAAAATTAGAAGAAAAAATGTTGCTTATAATTAAACACATTTATCTTATTCTTTTACATTATACATATTTTTGTAAACCAGCTCAAATTTCTAGAAATAGGATACAAATTTAATTCAATAAAGGACCCTATAGCTAGTTTTTTTAGTATCAAGAGAAAAGCAGCCCTTAGCAGGCAGTCGTGTGTTTTCAAGAAAGGAATTTACCAAGTTGAAATTCCTTAGCGGATAATAGTCAATGATTCCAAAAATATGTTTTATATAAAAGTTTATAATCACTATATTGCCACGTTCAAGCAAGAGTTTATGTTCTGGAGATAAAGGGACGGGAGACTGGTTACGTTTCAGTAAGTCGTTGTATTTGCTATGGTTTTGGAAAAGAAGCTGTCTACTCACTGGATTCTTCTGTGATGTTGCTGGCAAATGAGCTCCCCACTGCTGAACTGGGTCTTTTGCCTTCTTTGTATTGCTCCCTCCTTCCGGCCCACTGGTTAATTGCTTCTTCCTGGGAACCATCACTAGCTCTTCCACCTCTTTGGACCAATTCCTGGGTAACTTTCAGATACTCTTTATTTCCAAATACCAATCTAGATTAAACCACATTAAATATGAAAGTGAGACAACATTTTCAAGATAGGTAAATCAAGACATAAATATCATATAGTCCAGTCATTGAAACATATAATTACAGTAGACTAGGACTAGATAGTTTCATTCAACTTTTTTACGGTTTACTGTCAAACTTGTATTACTTAACAAAAAGAGTCATGTATCATTAAAAAAAATAGACTGATTGGAGAAAAATGTGGGGAGGGTGATCACCAAGCATTGCCTCAGTGGATTCAATTCAACGGGTATTCCTAGGGTATTAGCTTGATACTATATTAGTTAGTATGGAGAAATACAAGTAAATTGTTAAGTATGTCCCCTAAACTCTCAGTAAAGAAATAAAATGTTATTACCTGAATACCATGTGTAATTATAATCTATGATATTGAGTTTTCTATTAAACTCAAGTACTTATGGTTTGACTTTTTATTAATCAGGAGTATACAAATTTCATAATACTTTTGCTGCATATGCTGGCTAAAAATGAAGAAAAGTAAAAAAATGCCAAAATGCATGAAGGCTTTGTTAATTTTATATTTGAATCAATAACAGCTTGAAATACTTTATATAGTTCCAAACTGCTGCTTTCTGTCATCACAAACCATGACATCACGAAACTGTATTAGAAGAAAGAAACCCTAAACTACTGCAGTACAATCAAACTTTAAAAAAGTAACTGAAAAAGTAAAAAAACAAAAACAAAAACAGGAAAACATATAATTCCTGGAAAGTAATGTAATGGGTTAAAGTTAAGATTTTATTTGTTGTTACCTTTTGATACTGTATGAAAAGCAGGAAATACACATTTTAAAAGAGGCCAGCTCTTGACCTTTACTTTTATTCTATTCCCAGCAGCAAATGAGAACTTACAATTGGATTTTTGCAAATTAAAATAGAATTTATCAATATCAAAATTTATTTTCAGAACTATTTAACAAATGGGATATATCTATAAAGAAATAAGTGTATTTATTAATATATATATAATTATTAATATCCATTGATGTAACAACTTAAAATTCACTTGTCAGAGGTCTGGCAAGGTGTCTCACACCTGTAATCCCAGCACTTTGGGAGGCTGAGGAGGGAGGATTGCTTGAAGCCAGAGGTTTGAGAACAGCCTGGGCAACATAGCAAGACTTATCCATAAATTTTAAAATTCGCTGGGTGTGGTGGCATGCACGTGTTGTTGAGCTACTTGAGAGGCTGAGGTGGGAGAATTGCTTGAGCCCAGGAGTTTGAAGCTACAGTGAGCTATGATCACACCAGTGTACTCCAGCCTGTGTGACACAGTGAGACCCTGTTTCTAAAAAAATAAAATAAGATACAATTCACTTGTTGAGGTTAAACAGGTGAGGAGGAAGAACCATTGCCTAATTCATTTTCTATTACTTTACGGTGGACTCCTACTCTTATGAGGGTGACAGGAAAACAACATTCGTTCTATAATATTCAGTGTTCACTTTCTACATACTAATTTCTAATGTTTATTGGAGTGGCCACAATGGGCAAGATGACTTTTGCTCGCTGGAATGTGACAGAGTGGTGGAACTTTTAAAACTAATATAGAACTGATCTCTGGCCATTTCTCCAATGCTTGTTCTACTTCTCCTATTTTTTGAGATTGACAGTCTAGGTTAACTATGAAGGCATTCATCAGGAAGATAATTTTCTGATATCAAATATTTTACATGTAATAGCAATTCTTTTTTGAAAGTGTGGAGTACAAAAGAAATCATATGGACCTAGGAAACTATGTGTGATAGTATGGCCCTGGGATATGGTGGGAAGACTTTTCCTCCAGGGTCTTTTCATATACTTTTGATCTTTTCAAAGTAGGGGAAAGGATACAGTGTGTGTTAAAATGTGATCTGAAAACCACTGAAATGCCCACCAACTACAAAGTATCATTTCCACTGTCCTGTTTGGTGTTTGTGAACTCTTAGGTTTGCAAAGAATATAGAAGGTGATTTTTACGAAGTAATCATTCAGTATAAGCTTGAACACACCCCAGACTCAAATTTATTCCCTATTGAGTCAGTCTAATCCTTGTATACTACAATATGATAGAAAGTTTTTATGTGATGCATTGAATCTACATCTCAGTAATCTTCCTTCACATGTGAGCCTCCCCCTTATTCCATGAATACCCAGTAGATATTTATCAAGCCTTTCAAGGAGTCAGGCAATTTGTACTGAAATGAAGACATTCAAATCTCTTGAGGGACTCTGTTAAAATACACACTATCACTTTGTAGCAACAATATATTAATCCACTAAAAAACACAAATGTTTTACCAATTGCTATGGTTTGAATATATGTGTCCCCCCAAAATTTGTATGTTGCAACCTAAGATCCAATGTGATATTATTAAGAGGTGGGGCCTTTAGAGGTGATTAACTCTCCAGGGCTCTGCCCTCATGAATTGGCTTAGTATTCTTTAGAAGGGCCAGAATTAACTAGTTAGGACTTTTTGCCCTTCTGTGTCTGCCACGTGACGATGCAGCAACAGGGAGCCATCTTGGTAGCAGCAAGACACTTAATACCTCACCAGACCCTTAACACCGGCACCTTGACCTTCGACTTCTCAGCCTCTAGAACTGTGAAAAACAAATTTATGTTCTTTATAAATTACTCAGTCTCTGGTATGTTGCTACAACAGCGCAAATGGACTGAGATACCAAACCTGAGTGTGAAAGTGGAAAGCTACCACCTCGAAAGCCAGGGCAGGGCCTAGGAAGTGAATGGGAAGACCACGAAAAAGCAGCAGATCTGGGAGGAGCCCTGATGGAGAAAAGGCATTGCCACTGAAACAGGGATCTTGGAATGTGCGTGTGCTGAGATATGTTGACGTGAGCACGGGTGTTGAAAGCTCCTAATTTCACCAGAAGTCAGTTTGCTGGAAACTATCCCAACAGTTGTATTCTGCTATGAGAAATGAAATAATTTTTTATTCATCTTTTTATTCCCAGTGTTTGGTGCAGAGCATGGGACCACAAACTTTCTCAGATTTGCAGTCCTCTATACCTTTGTGCCTTGATGTGAACTCTTAGAATCACTCCTACTTTAGGAGAAATAAAACATTTTACACATTGTATGTAAGTTTTGTGTTACATTACATACAAAGGGCTGTTTATGGCTATTTCTATGCCATGTAAAATATCTAATCCTTCTCATTGTAATTTTCTCGGGCTAGCCTACTTTTGGTTTCCTCATTACATTTTTTTATGATATAGAATTTCTGGTTCTTTGGCAGAGCTCTTAAAGATATATTCACTCCATTAACAGCTGAATAAATGAAGCTTGAGCAACTAGTTTTTTACCCAACAACGTATAGCCCTTACCTGGTAGAGGAAGAACTCAGTGTTTAGTTATTAAATGTTTGACTGGTATCTTTCCTTTATAACACGATGGCTGTTACTTCCAGCCACACTCCCATACCACACCCACCTTCTCTTGTTTATCTAGTTCAGAGGTCACAGATTGTTTACTTTGTACTATGTCTCCCAAATCTCATGATCTGCAGACTCATACCTTAAAGAATGCAGGTCTCCTGCTATTTGGAAAAGTCAGAAGGCCTGTCTGTACTGGATCTGCGTTTTCCTTCCCTAAGGACACGGTAGTTCACCAACACTCCAGACTTGCTCACATACAGCCTGCTTTACTCATTTACATCACCTGCCTGGCCCCTGTAGACAGTTCACATTGTGACTTCTAATCTAATTGATTTCTAAACACACACACACGGTGGAAGAAACTACACAAATATTACGTGAACACTCGTGTCAGGGACTCTGAATCTGAGGCACATGCATAGATGTTAAGGGGTTAGAGGACCCCTTTTCAAAATGTAAGCATAAGTTTATGCCTATATCAATTTTATAATTTTCTGGTAAAACAGCCCAAAAGTGTCCCAGTTTCTCAAAGCAATATACTCCCTGAAAAAATTACCCAGGTTTAGCCTGAGATGCCAGTAGTATAAAGACAATAATGTTGAATAAAGTTTAAAGATATCCATAGTTCTGGGAGAGTTCAATCTATGCAAACATTTATAGATTCAAATATTTGGGTATATATATGAATATTATAACTGTTAAACTATTTTCCTGGGTTTTTTTTTGTTTTTGTTGTTGTTGTTGTTGTTATTTGTTTTGGTATGTGAACTGTTCAAAGAAACCTGATGTGACTTCTCTGCATTTGATTTTTTATTCAATAAATATTGGAGCACCTATACTACAGGACAGGTACTATCTAATTTTATGAATATAGCAATGACCAAAACAGGAAAAATCCATGCCCTCCTGGAACTTACATCTTAGTGAAAGAAGACAGAACAAAACCAAAATAAACCAGTAAAACATATAGCAGATTAGAAGGCAAAAAGTGCTATGTATAAATGGAAAAAGGATAGTGTTTGCCTGGGCTGTAATGAAGATGGTTCAGATTGCAATTTTAAATGGAGTGGTCTGAGAAGACCTTCCTGAGAACATGCTGTGTGAGCAAAAATCTAAAGGAGATGAGGAGATGAGAATGAACTATGTAGACATACAGGGGAAGACTGGTCCAAGTAGTGGGAGCAGTCCATGCAGAGGGCCTGATGTGGATCTGGGCTGGAAGATTCCAGGAAGTAAGTCAATATGGCTGGAAGAGTGATCAAGGAGAAGGGTAAAGGGAGAGAGTTGTAGGAACAGCCTTTTGATGAATCAGTAACACAGGGAACCAGTAGCTGGAATTGTTTACCAAATGGGGCAGTTTCAAAATCTATGTGTAATATCAGCTTTGAGAGAATTCTGACTTGAATTATTGATTTTCATAAGAAATGTTTCTCACTGGGAGAGGCAGGACAGGGAGGAACATGCCTCTGGGAGAAGGAGAGTCAACTTGGGAGATATATTCATCCAGGTGAGCATGTGTTTCCTTTGGGAGGCACAATTGTTCTTACTACAGGTTCCCTTGCAGTTCCAAATAACTATAGACTGAAGCCAGTGTTGGGATTAATGTCATTGATCCTGATTTCTGGATATTGGCACCAGGAAGCAGTCCCCATGACTAATGGTCCTTGCTTTAGGGTGTTCATACCAAGCAGATGACCATAGAGTTTTCATACTGTTCTAGGGCACTTACTCTCTACAAAGCAAATTTCACATTTTATTCTAACAGTTACGTAATTGATGACGCTTTTTGTATTTTATTTCTACTTCCAAATTTTACTAATTTCATTCAAAAATCTACAGACAGAACTACAAAGAAAATATACCTTCTCCTTTAAGTTTCATCATTCCAAATATAATTTCTGAAGCTATTAGGATTATTACCAGCAGTTTGGAAGGAGTTTTTACTCATTCAAAATGTATTTTAATTTACAATATGGAATAATGCAAACATTAAATATAAAATAATTTGGACTCATGTGAAAAAAACAAGGGCCTTCTATGAAGTGACCAAAATGATATAGTGCTGATTCAAGATTGAAAGCAGACAGGCAGAATTATGTACTTAGGAACGAACTTCCATCTTAGCCCTTCTTGAGGTCTGGAGAGCTTCTGGGTTCTATCAATAGTTTGGTCCAAGTAATGCACACGGGAGGTCAGAGGTCTGCTGGAGGTCAGAGGCCCCATGGTGGCTCAGTGAGGATTAGGCATGGTCGTTTCTGTTTTTTGTCCTTTGTTTTAATTACTATTCCACATGGCCTCCCAAGACATACATACAATGCCTCTGTAACACCACAGCAAGGTTTAAAAATATATTTTTATTTTTAAAATATATTATTTACAAACATATTCTTCCTATTCTTCTGAACATGCTTGGCTTGCAAGAGGGAAAGAAATGGTGGATTATTTAATAATGGCAAAGGCTAACATTTCCTATAAAATTGATTTGGCAATATATCAACCTTTTAAAGAGAAATTGATTTTTTTTTTTTTTTACATTAAACTGCAGGCTTGGAGATGCACTATTTATGGGTGGAGTGGGTGATAATGTAAAGAAACAGACTGATATATGCTTGCCTGTGTTCATCTAACTCTAAAATATATATCTTTAGCAATAAAGAAAACATCCCAAGCAATTTTAAAAAAGCCCTCATCTTAAGACTTTCCAAAGCTAAAATATGTAAAAATAATGAAAGTTAATGATTCTGTATAGACCACCATACCTTTCAAAGCTTGCTTCTGAGGCGGCATCAACATGTGTATTTGGTGACAGTAATTTTCCTTTGAGTCATTTTTGTTCTTATCTTCTTTAGAATTTGGCCCCATTGATGCAATCCTTTAGCACTATGCTGGCTCCTGTTTAAAACTGGTTAGTCCAAGGTTTTCTTTATCTTGGTTACCATGTAGGTCGACATCATTGGTCGGTGTTTTCTCAATAAGAAACAGATTATCTGAAGCACACACTGCACAGTTGGACTCAGCACTGTTTGCTGAAAAATGCATTTGAAAACAGACTTTGTCATCATTTTCATTTGAAAGGTCTTCAAAATCTCTGTAGCACAAATTCTTCACCACTGGTAATATCTGGCTTTTGTCTTTTTCAACATTTTCCAGAGAGCTGGGTCACTCTTCAGGGTTTTTCATTCCCATGGGACAATTAGAAAAAAAATTGTAGTTTCTTTATCTTAACTAATTTTTGCTCTAACTCATCAGTTATGAAGGTCATAACTAGAGCTTTTGTTTTGCTCAGGGCTGCTATCTGGATGACTTGCTGCGACTCTGGTTCCATTCCACAGTGCTGTGGCTAACACCATTGAGCAGACTCTTAGCTGCTAGGCTGCTGCCAGAGGCAGGCCTGAGATTAAGACATGGCGTAATCTTCCTTTCCAGTAGTTGCTGTGCTTTTGCATGAGAGTCACTATGTAAAATAGCTTTGTTAAAGTCTCTGTCAGTCACATTAATCTGCTCCTTCTCAGAATCTATCACACAGTCAGCACAATGATTAAAAGAAAATGTACTCTCTGGGTTTTCCTTAGGTTTTTGAATGTCTGGTGGCCCAGTGAGGTGCACTGAATGAGGTGCAAGACTACAGAGAAGTTTGACTAGAAGGGAAAGATACAGAATTTGAGTTCTCACAGCATTCTGCAGGTGGAGTCTTGCTTCCTTTGCAGGTGGAGTCTTGCTTCCTTTGCAGTAGACGTTGGCTGCCTTTGCTTCTATGAGCTGCATGCTCACAGAAGATGAAGAACTAAAGTTGAAGTCTTTGCCATCTTGAACTGGAAAGATGTCAGTAATGGTATTTGGCAAACAATTTATTCCTTCTGTGCTTTGCTGTATGTGTGAGTCTGATGTGATATTTCCTGGGATATCAAAGTTGATTTTTCTCTCTTTTTCCACATCTTTAGAGTCCTCAAAAGGCATTTTACTTAAATCTGCATTACTTAAACTTGTGGTCTTTTGGGTATTATGTGAAGTAGGAAGAATTTTTTTGAGAAGAGTCTTAGACTCAGAGAAATGTTTCTTTCTGGGGGTGTTCTGACTAATTTTAAAGACCTTCTGCTGAGAGATAGCAGATTCTACCTCACAATCATCTAAGACTGTAGATAGTGTGTCAGGCTTATTTTTCTTTCTCTCCAGAGTTGAGGTTAGAGAAATCACCACTGTATCAAAATTATTCTCCTTCTGGACACCACACATGCCAGGAGGAGAGATACACAAACAATCTCAACTCTGATGCTTGTTTTCAAGCTGCCACATTTCAGGGTACCTAATACCAGACTGTGATGGAGACGTGAAAGGTTCTTTAGTAGTGCGATTGGAGGACATGTTTCTGTATTTAGTTACTGTTTTCCTTTCTTTTAGGATGAGTTATATTAATTAGTATATTCTGTGTCTTACTCATGTAGTTGACTTTAAATTTCTTTTCTTTCAATGGTTACTTTCAGCAATGGGCTCTCAGTTCTGGCGATTTCTCCTTCATGTTTAGATGGCACCTCAGGTTTTAGTTCTTCCACCAATATGTTCTTATGTTTAGGAAAGCAGCTCCTAGAACTGTAGCATCTCTGAATGGGTCTGAGAGAGAAATGCTGTCAACATTTTGGATGTGTCTTTTTTGTTGGGAACTGTATTCCTGGTTTACAGAAAAAGTTTTTCTTGATTTCTCTTTGCACATTGAAAGCCCCAAGTTTCACTTCTGTAATAAATTTGCCTTTTGCTGGCTTAAAGGCTTCTACTGTGCCTGGGAGATTCTGTAATGTAATGTTTTCTGATAATGATTCTCCATAGTCATTAAATATAATCATAGGTAAGACTTTTTCCAGTTGATGAGAGACAGCCAAAGGAGGATCATCATTTCCCTTCTTCCTACCTATTTTGCTGTCAGATGGATGCTGTTTCTTATCTTTAGGGAGAAAAGAAGAATTCTGCTTTTCATTCACAGAAGCAGACATACCCTCATCTCCATTTTCCTTAGATTTCCCTAATGCCTCAGGCTGATGAAACACAGGCTCCAAGGTGTCTCCTTTGACTTCCTTTTCAAGAGCTTTTATATTTTCTTGGCATGTTCAGCCAGCAGGCTGAGATACACCTAAAGAGGAAGCAAAAAAATAAAAATTAAAAAGGTTTACGTGTCCACTTAGAGAACAGATGTTCCAATTTCCAGAATAAAATGCAATGCAAATCCTTTGTAAGTATTTTGGGTATTGGTTTTCATTCATTTATAGCATGTCAAAATGTTTTTCACAAAAGTTCATTTATAATAAATATATCATTTGAAATCAACCAATTCTCTTAGAGTGTAGAAATATCACCTGGTAGTTTTACAAAGTAAGAATTTAATTAAGCTTTGCTCTAAAACAGCAACTTCCAAAAGTGGGTGAAATGAAAATTTCGCAAGAAACCTATGCAACTAAATTTTAAGTGCAACTCTTGATAAAGAACAGCTTGCTATGATAAGGTATTTGAACGTGGCATTATACTACAGGCTAAGTCAAGCTCAATATAATTTGAGATGGTACAACAAATGAAGATGTGGGTAAAAGGAATGGAAGAAACATAAGTATGCTTTTAGACAGACTTTCAAACATGTCCAGTAGTATCCTTTGCCCTGGGCTTTTTATAGAATAGGTTCACAAACTCAAAGTCTGTGGCATTTAAACAGGTAACATAAACAGATGAAGCAGGCTGGGTGTACATATTCTCTGCTAGTCAGCTCCAGCCATGTTAAAAGGTGTCCTAGTGTTACCGGATCCTCTCGTTTTTTTCCAGAAGAGAACTAGAATCTGGATTCTTTTTCTATACTGTAAAATCTCTTAATTTCTAAGGATTAGTTCAAAATTTTTTTTTTTTTAATGACCCTCTATAGGTGGAGGCCAGCATACTTAGGGACCAGATTTTGCCCAAGAACTCCCAGCTTGCAACCTGCACTCCTCTGTTTTATAATATTAAAATATATTCTTATGAGAAGCTTGTGAACCTGAACATGAGGCACCAGAGCTTTTGTGAAAAACAGTGGACAAAAATATCTCAAATTCTATTTTAAACTACATCTGAGATTATTTGTTAAGAAAGAAGAATGGACAACAAGTGAATACTTATATCATAAAAATTGATGAACAAGGTATCAAAAAGGACATTTTAAATAAGTTTAAAATTGGAATGGATTATTTATACCTTTATTTTAAATGTTTTTAATTTAAACATGATTTTTATTTGTACTTATAAATTTTTACATAAAATGCTTATAATTATATAAATACTTATATAGAGAAAAAAATTCTCTTCAACAGGAAAAAGAACAGCATCGAGCATACTAAGGTCACTTGAGGAGTCTAACCATTCCCATTTGCCTCTCTTCTAGCCTGAAGGAAGGTCTTCTCTCTTGGCAGGTACTGAAATAGTTTCCAGTGGGCTTGGTCACAATCTGAGATCTGTAATGTGGAGGTCATAAGAGAAAAGACATGGAGACCTATCTCTCTAAAGGCCATTTACAATAGACCACGGACACAATAACAGTTTATAGATTGATGGACTGCCTTCCAGAATGGGACTTTATTCTTTCTTCTTAAAATAACATCTTCATGCCAGGAGCCATTATGTTTATACCCCCTTTCAATTTTATAATTTTATATTTTATAGACCCTTTTAATTGACTACATTTTAATTTCTGCAAAAAGTGATATAGAGCAGAGAAAGTTATGTAATAATGCATTGATAACAGATTCTAAGAATAATGGGTCCTAATAATCTATATCTGGATAAATATTTATATTTTTATTAGTTATAATACATATCATTAATAATGCAGAAGTATATAAATAATAACTATAGGCCAAGTTTCAAAAGCATTTTGTATGTTTTTATCTTCCTAGTTTTATAGACAGTCCTGTGATAAAGAAGAAAGTACATAAACTAAGCAGTTCATTTTATACGTACTTAGAAAATCATTGAATTAGACTTATATACTGTGGTATTCAAGATTTCCCATTTTTTACAGGCTTTTCTTCTTTTCCTCGTCATTTTGGGGAGCTGTGGGTCTTCAGTTTTCACCGCCCTTTGAAAATATCAAATAAATTTGAAATTATTTTCCCATCAGAATTTAGGTTTAATCAAATTACTGAGTAACTAACTCACTTGCCAACTTGATAGCACGGGTATCTTTCTGTGGTATCACTATATTCTTTTCCTTTAAATATATTTTACTGTAGTAATTACATTTACCTTTTTTGTTTAGTTACATCTCAATTATTTAGTGCATTGTTATATATATATATGTACATGTGTATATAAATGAATATATTCAAACATATAGATATGTAAAACATATACACATAAATTCCTATTTGTAGACATTTAGGATGCAAGTTGATGCATATTGTTTAATTATTTTTATGTTTTGCTGTTTCCGATATTAATAGAAACACCCAATTTTTTGTAAACTTAGCCTAAATCCAATATTATGAAATTTGTAGCCCTGCTAAAAATTAAGTGGGGTAGGGAGATGGTTTGCCTTCATTATACTGTCATATATAACCATATTTAAATATTATGATTGAGTACACATATTGGTAGAGGTGGTAATTCATTGTAGAAGACTAAATTCTTTACCTTAACTGTGAAAGAAAGGATTATATTCTCTGTTGATGATGTCTTAACTCATAGAAAGTGTTGGAGATGGCATCAGCGGGAAGGCCATCTCCTAACTTCCCAATTACCACCTCAAGCAGGCACCTGCCTGTGCTCAGCGCTAAGCCTGATTCCAATTGCTTTACTTTAAAAGAATTAATCTATCTGCAAAGATGAAAAGGAAATAGTTTCCCATGGAAGCAGTTTGCTTTAAGTGTGTTTGGTCAGACCAGGCTGTATCTTTGGACACCTCAGTCAAAAAGCTTGACTCTTATTTGTTTTATGTAAAATGAGGCTGCTTTGTGGCCAGTTTTGGCAAAAATTTATTAAAATTCTTCATAACTCACCTCTCTCCTCAAAATCCTCCAAATCATAATATCTGTTGATTTAAAATCCTTTTTATTCCATAGCCTCTTCAAATCTCTTAATTTTCTGAAAATTCTTTTTCCTTAGGCCGCCTTTTTTATATAGAGCAATTGATATTCTTTTGGCATCTTTCAATTAACCTGTCTACATTCTCCTGCAATAAGCAGAACTACATCTCTGTGGCTTGTGAGGTGAGCAGTAATCCATTCTTCTTAGAAGGCCAATGTGGGGATTGGGTAGGGTAGAGAATTACAAATGCACAATTTAATATCTTTGTTTTTTTATCCCTGTCTTACACATAATTGGGATTTCTAATTTAAAAATGCTTCAAAAGCACCTGACTAGGTATAGCTACTATAGAAAAATGTATGGAGATTCCTCAAAAAATTAAAAAAAAAAAACTACCATAGGATCCAGTAATTCCACTCGTGAATATATATCCAAAGGAAATGAAATCAGTATTTCAAATATCTGCACTCCCATGTTTATTGTATAGCTATCACAAGTCAAGATATGGAATCAACCTAACTGTCTAACAAGTGGAGAGAGAAAATGTGGTATATATACAGAATGAAATATTATTCAGCCATAAAAAATGGAATCCTGCTGTTAGTGACTACATGGATGAACCTGGAGGACATCATGTTAAATGAAATGAACCAGACACAGAAAGACAAATACCATGTGATCTCATTCATATGTGGAATCTCAAAAAAAGGTTGACATAATAGGAGCAGAGAGTAGAACAGTGGTTAACAGAGATTGAGGGGGAGAAAGGGGTAGGAAGGTGGGGAGTGGTTGGTCAACAGGTTCAAAGTCCCAGTTAGATTGGACCAATGAATTCTGGTGTTCTGTTGCACACTAGGAAGACTGTGGTTAACAGTAAAACATTGCATATTGCAAAACAGCTATAAGAGAGGCTTTTGAATGTTCTCACTACACAAAAAATGATAAATGCATGATGTAATGGACAAACTACATTGATTAGATTATTACACACCATAGCTATGTACTGAAATATCAAATTGTACCTTATAAATTTTTACAATTACAGGGCCAAATAAATAAATACTTTTTTAAAAAGCACATGACTAGGTTAGTGATTTTTCTCAATGGTTTCACATAGTTTAAACAGAAAAATGTAGCCGGCTGCACTGGGTTTAGTTGAGAGCGCTGGACTTTGACCCAGAAGATCTGGGTCTGTACTGTGGCTCTGCTTCTTACTCAGCAGGTTGTGTCGTATCTGTGAGGCTGAGTTTCCTTTACCTTTAAGATAGAAATGCTAACAAAATTTAACTTGCAAAGTTATCTTGAAGAAACACAACTGAAAACATTATTAATAGTTCCAGTGAAATGATACTTGCTATTCTTAACCTCTGTTATAGTATATATACATAACAATTAGAATACACCCATAATTAGAGCTGAGCAGTGGCTGGCTTTGGGAGACTTACCATCGTATCAGAGCTGCAGGTGAGGTCTTCAATGAAGCTGACCAAACCATACATTCTTTTTGCACTAGAATGTCTAGAAGTTTTCAAGATTATCTCATTCAAAGCTCTCTGTATGTGAAAAACTGGGACCCAGACCATCCATGCTTCCTGAATCTCACTAATGGTGGCAAACCACTAATTAGGTAAGCTGTCTCTTTGAGCAGACACATGTGGTATAGATGCCCTGGAGATATGGATAGGCTTTGTGTCCCCACCCAAATCTCATATTGAATTGTAATCCCCAGGTGCTGAAGGAGAGACCTGGTGGTAGGTGATTGGATCATGGCAGGGGGGCAGTTTTCCCCATGCTGTTCTCATGATAGTGAGTGAGTTCTCTTGAGATCTGATGGTTTTGTAAGCATTTGGAAGTTCCTCCTTCATACACTCTCTCTCACCTGCTGCTATGTAAGACGTCCCCTTGTGCCATGATTGTAACTTTCCTCAAGCCTCGCCAACCACGTGGAACTGTGAGTCAATTAAACCTCTTTTGTTTATAAATTACCCAGTCTCGGGGAGTGTCTTCATAGCAGTGTGAAAACAGGCTAATACACCTGGATTACTTCTGACCATAAAGAACATATTTTATAGTCCGTTTTCACTTTAGCATTGAGAAAGCACAACTTTGTTCCAGAAAATTGAATGTACTCTTTCATATGAACCTAGTATCTAGCACAGTGCCAGACACATAATAGGTACGTAATACATATGCATAAATAAATAAATTAGATAGACAGCTCCAATCTGTACCTAACTATGGTTTCAATAAAGTGTCTTCTTGTATTTTTAAACATACTTTCCTTTTACAATGTATTGAATTTGTTGATAGTTAAAATTCTGTTTTAAAAGAAATAAGTTGCTCGTATTTTTTCCTACTAGTTATCTCTCTTGCTCTGTACTTGCATAAGAGGCACCCAAGTCAGCTGACGGCAGTGTCTGGAATCATTGGCTGTAGGGGTACTATCTATTCTATTTTAATTGAATGGCAGCAAACATTTCTTCCTTTTTGCCTGTTAAACATGGCATAGCTATAGCTGCATTTTCTAAATTGATCCTAAGCAAAATGAGGAGTGGGAGAAGGTATTCTTTAAAATCCCAGGCTTCTGTTTCGATACCCTCTCTTGTCCTGTATGACCCTCTTCCTTCAATATGGTTGACCATGTTATGCTCTCTCCAGTCTCTCTATTTTAGAAAGGCCTATATAAAGATACAATAAAATGCTTAGAACATAAGCAATGTAGGGACACTGAAGAAAGTTTTGGCTATTAAATAATTTGATATTTGATTTTTCAAAAAATTTCAAAATAGTCATTGACTATTTTGTAGAATATTGTTGAACTTCCTCACATATGGTTTAGAATTTGTCATTTTAATTTCACAGGGAGACACCAAAATAATTTTAAAGCTTCCCTACAATGATTTCATAGCATTTACATATTTTCTATCTCTAAAACAACTATTTCACACTGTCTCTTCTCCAGCCTCCTATCTGTCCTCCTCTTCCCACACTCTCAGTGATGGGCTTGACACATTCCTCATAGGAAACAGAAGCTGACTGAAGCTGTTTCTACCTTCCAATACTAATTAATTGTTAATTAATACAAACTGACTTCGTTGAATTTATATCATAGTCTATGAAATCTCTTTTATTTTGTGGAAAAAGTAAGTGTACCTGAACCATTTTCCTGCAATTTATCCTCTCCTCTCCTGCAATATCCATTTCTGTCTTTCTCTGCATCACTCCATCTATTATTGCATGTCACTGTTCACCTTTACAGCAACACATCTTCATGGATTTGTCTGTATTTTCTGAGTCCACTTTCTTTCCTCACAGCTTTTCTCAGGCCCACTCCAGGAACTACCCTATCACTTATCCCTACCACTCCACTGAGGGTGCTCTTACCCACATCACCAGTGACATCCGTATTGTCAAAGCCAAGAGTCAATTCTGTGTCATCTTAGGCACACTCTCAGCAGAATTTGACACAACTGATCACTCTGTTCCTCTTGCATTGCTTTTTTTCTTTTAACTCCATGGTGTCACACTCTTCTGATCCTTATCCTGCTCTACTGGGCACCCCCTCGTAGATGCTTTTGCTGGATCTTCCCTTGCTTAGTCTCGAATCTTTGACATCTTCAGGGTTCCCTTCACTTTTTCGTCAACTCTTTCCCTAGGAAATATTGTTTGAGAGCTTCAAAATAATATACCTAGGTGATTCTAAAATTCATAATTTTACTCCTAAAATTCATAATTTCTTAAGCCCAGAAGTCTAAGCTTAAATTCCAACGGCCAAATTGATGTGTCTATTCATATGTCTAATTGGAATCCCAAACTCATAAGGTCCCCAACTGAGCTCTTAATGTCATCTGCCTTCATTTCTTTTCTTCCCCAAATCTTTCCAATCTTGGTCAACAGCATCACCATCCATCTAGCTTAAGTCAAACACCCAGATATTGTCCTTGACTCTTCTCTTTAACCTTCCTCATCCAATGCATCAGCAAGTTTGCCCTACTCTGTTTCTAAACATCTTATCCCAAATATGTCTGTTTGTTTTCTACTCCATCGTTACCACCCCAATCCAAGCCACCAGATATATTTTTAAAAATCTGGACTAGTGTAATAACTTCCTAGCTTATTCCTAGTTTCTCTTATTTCTATATTCATATCCTTTGATTATATAGCAGCCAGATTGATTTTTTAAAAGCATAAATCAAATCATGTTATCCCACCCCCTGCTTAAAACTCTCTAATGGCCTCTCATTTCACTTTGAAAAATTCTAAGCACCTTTTTTTTTTTTTACACATATACATAAAATACCATTTTATTCACAAGTAAAATATATCACTACTAAACCTTTGGGTATACATTAAGGAATCCATTTTACTACAAATTTCTTGGGTTTATATTTTTAATGTTTATTTTTTTCTGTACAAAATTGGCAATAAAGCTCAGGAAAGTTACTATGATTGCTATTATATATCAGCTGAATCCTATCATATCTGATGTCTTTATATTGGATTTTACAGGTCTTTTTTCCATCTGCACTTTGACTCATTACTATAATTTACAAGAAGAAAGGGGAAAAATGTAAACTGGAAATACTAACAATATCTTTTTACTGCAGAATTACACAGTAATACTGTTACACTCAGAAAATTATTGGATGATAAAGATTTTTTTGGGGGGAAGATATTGTTATAAAGTTTTACTGGTGTCATTTTTCTGATAAATTACCTAAAAATTACCTAAAATTTCAATTGCTAAGTTGGAATATTTTCCCTGAAACAGTCAAAGGAAATGTACTATTACCAATAAAAAGAGAAAGATTCACAAAGGGGTAGACAATGATATAATGATTGCTATGAAAATTCTAGAAGGAGACTAAATATGAAATTCAGAAGGTTAAACGCTTAACTTCCAGGGTAGCACAGCATCTAGTACTCTTTGTAATTCCCACTGGCTTTAGTTTTCTGTAGAATCTGAAAGAATTCTTAGTGTTTTTATTATTTCTTTATTATTTGTTTTTATTACTTCATTTTCCCAATTTTAGCATAATGTCTATGCTCTCTGTACTATATTTTTAAGGAAATTCATACACACAAAACAGGTTCTGAAAAGTTCAAGTGTAAAAATATTTGGAGAACATTTAAAATTTCCATTTACTTTGAAAAGTATGTTTAAAATATATAAACTTACCCATTACTGTCATTTCTGATTTTAAATGGCATGAGATTTAAACTATATTTGTCCTTAAAAAAAATTCGTAAGAGCATAAGAAGAGTTATATAGGAAAACAGTTGTTTCAATAATGCCCATATATCACTTCAGATTTGCTCTCAGCTTCTTGTTTACAAACCTGGGACCTGATCAGTAATTCTTAGTGAATAGTTTGCCAGTGTCTTGAAAGTAAGACGCCTTAGTTAAGATCACTGAAGGCTGTTTCGGTG